ATGCTGAGAAACGGCAACATGACAAAGTTGTCATTGGTCCCCTCTTCTTTAGAAAAGACCAGGAAATGGATGGATACAAGGATCGTGGTTCAAATCAATAGGCAATGCAATGACTCTAAATATCATAATGATACGCCACCAAACACACATTCAAACTAATAGTAACAATAAAATAAGTAGTGGAGTAAAAGTACTGATACCAAGAAATATGTTCTTAAAGGTGGGGTAGGTAAGTCTTGAGAAAACCGGCTCGAGATAACCACTTTTTGTTATATTCCAGGAATGCTCTTAACATCCGCCCGATAGCAAGGAATATCTTTAAGACAAAAATCCATACAAAAATGTCGATCTGTGGAAGCCGTAGTGCTGTAAAAGCATGACCAATCATTTTAGCCGGCCCCGGCTAACATAACTGGATGGCCTACCTGCCTGTCAAGCCTTCCATCTGTGCTACTAACTTATCTCAGTGTCCTCCATGATCATTTGCAACATTCGTTTGTGTTGAGTGAGGAGCTCTGTAAGAAGTGGATCAGATTTCCTCTGGCCTGTGTATTTGTAAATCTAGCGCAGCTCAGCCTGGTTCTCCAAAATTACCTAACCCGACCTTTAAAGTACAGTAACAAAGTATTTAGAGAGGGGGGGGGGACTCACGTAAACTTCCCACCTCTAGCCTTTTATAATGCTAACATTTTGATGGATGATCATACAGGCTCTTTTAGGCTTTTGCAGCTTGGTAAACTCAACAGACACAAAATAAAAGCAGGGGAAGGGGGGGAAAGATTCAATATAACATCAGACAAAACATATGACATAACTGCCCTGCTCGTATACGATCTATCTAGTCCTTTTCCTGTCTTTTCCAGCAGTTTGCGTGGGACGGAGTTGGTTGACTGGCAATGCACGGCAGGCTCATGGGCATCCACTCTCGTATTCAGGGCTGTGGGCATGTGCAGGTGCTGGCTGGAAGAAGGGTTTCTCATGCATGGTGATGAGTCTTTGGTGATGTGCTTGCACCACATGTAAAGTGTAACTGCATAAGCCTGCGCCTGTGTCTGTGTTGTTGTGCTTACAGTGACCAAGAGGCTGAGCTTCCAGGACAGTACTCTTCTGCCGTTCCTGGATGACCAGCAGGAAGAAGCTCCTCTACCCGACCGAGGAGGAAGAGAAGGAGAGCCAAGAGGAGCGCAGGACACGCTGGTCCTCCTCTCACTAGATCGGACACCGGACGCCCACTATGCAGGATGTTCTGAGGAAACAGTACGGGGCTATAAAGAAACCATTTGTTTTCTAAAGCATATTAAATAGCATTATTCACAGTGGCTTGAATGGGCCCGGTACTCACGGTTAGCTCAGTTACCGCACTTCTGATTTTTACCCTGTGGTACGCCGGCACTTCTTACTGAGTACCGGCCGGCGCAAGGTGCCAGTGCTCAGGTAAAAATGCCGCGTCTCAGCCGCCGGCCGCCGAACGTCATGACAAACAAATATGCGGCAGCCGGGCGCTCGGTCAGATATGCCAGCCGGCGGCATTTCATGACGGCATCTATGACGCACCGCAGCGATAGACAGAGGCAGAAAAGACATCACATAACGTTAGCATTTCGAAAATGTTAGCGTGGGCTTAATAATCAGTGCGAAAAAGACAGCGGTTGTCGCCATGAGCAAGATTCCCTCCTCCTTTCCTGCTGAAATATGGTGACGTGTACCAGGGACGCAGGAGCTCATTTAACCAGCCGCCAGTAGAGTCAGCTTTACTCTTCTTTATATCCATGAAAGAAAAAGTAGATCTGTTTCTAGTTGTTTTCATATTGGATGTGAGAGGTATCCATATACTAGCTCCCTTTTGCCCAAAGTGACACCAGATTGAATGCATCTAATCTTCATATTCTTTTTAAATCTCCCGCGGGGGAGCATGGCCCCCGGGACGCCCCCCTAGGGTGGTCAGGTCCACTCCCCCATTTATAGAAAATAGCACTTTACCGACGTGCAGCCCCCTCTAATCTCAGAATGGCAACCTGAGTCACTTTGTTACGTACAGGTGAGCCTTTCTAAAATATACAGTAAAGAGACAAACCCACCAGCATTATACAGAATATTATCATATGGAAGGCTTCTGAGGCCAGAACTTTTTTTTTGGCCTGTATAAACAATTGACGAAACAGCTTGCTGGATTAGAAGTACTGGCACCTTTTTTATTCGCAATTCAGCACTGATTTTCTATGTGATGGTGTTATGATTTTCATTTACATGAATTTCCTGTTTTCCAGTCGTCTGAAAGAGCGGGCAGATGATTTGGAGATCATCTATGAGAGCTGCTCCATATAAAGGCATCTATCTCACTATCACACGACCTGTGAGTTTGTTGTCTGTTGGCCATATAACCCTGTGCCTGTTGGCACACATCGGCACTTTCTTTTAGGTCAGTGAAGAATGCAAGCTAAACTTCTCAGACTTGCTTCATTAACGAGCAGAGTGAAGAAACGAATGCAAAGTGCAACCTTTGAAATCATGCTCATTGCCACTGGAAATCACTCCTGATTGGAGGCCAAAGAGAAAGAAAGAAAGAAAAGAGAAAATGCTGAAAAGTGCAGGGCTTTTTTATAGATTTTGAACTCCTAGTCCATTTTAGGAAAGTCAGGTTATTGACTAGCTCTTTCTAGAGGGCTCCCTGTTGCACTATAAGTAAAATGAATTTGTTGTTAAATATTGATCTTCCGAGCAAATAAATCTGTCTCCTCGTGCAGGTAAAAGAGAGAGCTGGCACGGAAGTGCGGATCTTGAGTCCATCATGCGAAGGCAGGAGCAGTGTGTAAGTAATGAAGTAAAATAAAGTGATGTGCCTCTTAACTGCTGTGCGCAACACTGTAACTTTAGAAACTTATTGTCCAAAGAGCTCAAAAACTCAGGCTACCCCTGAAGTATACTCGAACATTTATAGTATCCACAATGTGGAAAATAGTCTTGCGGCTTCACTGAGATCAACGTGATACAAGTAAGTATTAAACATTGGGAGACGGGCTTAGTGTTTAATCATAGGCCCCCCAATCAAGTCATACAGTTCAATAGGCCTACAAGTGACATGACATTCCTCAAAGCATAATAAATAGACGTATCAATGTCATCATTAACTTTTTGCAGAGGTCAATAAACAACGGAGTGATGATTAATTAAATCTAACAATTCCAAGAATATACACTGCAGACTACTAATGCTGTGTTTTCTTTTATCTCTCAGTGTTCAGTCAGGGGGAGGAGGCACATCATGGTACAGTTATTTTGAAGGGACTCAGTCAACGTGTCATTCTATGGGAAGTAGGTATTTCCCAGATGAGTCTCACATTATTCTAATCAAGTCCCATGAGATGTAGATCGGACCAGGATCATGCGATTCATATGGTCAAAACTGATCAGTTCTCTGTGTCTCAGGGTGTTGTTTGCACTCTTCATGAGGGAGATGACTTTGGGAAGCTCGCGTCTGGTTAATGACCCCCCGCGCTGGCCTCCATTTCCTGCGAGAGGACAACTGCAGCTTCCCTGAGAGTCGACAAGGAGAACTTCAACAGGATTTTGAGGGGAGTTTCTGTTTAAAAGCTAAGTGATTGGGCTTTACATAAGATTTAAAAGAAGCCTATCGGCCTCTGTTGGCAGAAACGCCAGCAATGCAGCAATGAACTGCAGTTAATGTGTCTTTGAGATACAGTACACTCTGTACCCCATTTGGCTAAGTAATGTTCAAATATGAAACCCTTTTGCAAATACTTATGTACTTAAAGCATTGATAGCAAAAACAGTGTGTTGGTAGTCAACAGTTAACTTACATCTGGGCATTTATGACTGGCATCATGTCAGTTCCATATAGCAGAATGAGGCAGAGTTTCAGCCAGTATCGAACGTGGTGAAATGAAGGAGATGTGTCATCTGTCTGTTAGTAGGAAATTAGGAATCTTATTTAACAAAGAAACAAATATCTAAGCTTTTTAATGGATAGCAAATAACTCTCATTAACTGAATTTATCAAGAATTTTTCAATGTTTGGATGCTTGTTAAAAGCTCTTTTCAAGAATTCAGATAACATTCAGGTCATTTTGGGGTGAGGATTTCCTTTAAGACTCGCAACGTTGGGCTTGTTTGCTTGTGACTTGCAGGAGTTTTGTCTAAGCGCTCCTGTTTGCTGAGGTGAGCGTGGTTGTGTGCTGACGGGACACGCGGACAGGAGCAACTCTCCCGACTCTGCAGTGACCAGGTCTGCAGCGGGAAATTAGCGAAGCAGTTAAGACTTAGAGAGGCAGAAGAGGAGTCAAGATCTCTGGACATTTTAGAATGATTTGTGCGATGTTTTAAAAGGTAAACATTCAGTTAATAAGCTGCTATTCTGTGAGTTGTGGAAGAGACGAGTCTATTCACTGAGCACTGAAATAGGGGCTCAAAAAAAACAACACAACCTTCCAGTGGGTTTTAAACATACGGTTGTTATTGTCAATTGATCCTAACAAGCTTTAGCTCATACTGTTATTAGAAGACATTGCCTCATTGAAATAGCTGGTGTGTGTGTGTGTGTGTGTGGTGTGTGTGTGTGTGGTGTGTGGTGGTGTTGTGTGGTGGTGTGTGTGTTGTGTGTGTGTGTGTGTGTGTGGTGGTGTGTGTGTTGTTAGTGTGTGTTGTGTGGTGTGTGTGTTGTGTGTGTGTGTGTGTGTGTGTTGTGTGTGGCAGGATTGTGGAGGCCCACACGGTGCGTCTGAAAGGAGGCACCGGTCAGGATGTTCTGTGTTAGAAGAAAGAGTCATGTCACCTCAGCCCGGGGCCTCGTCCTCCATTACAAGAAATGTCACACAATCTACTGCACTGCACTCACAAAAGTTAGATATCTATCTATCTATCTATCTATCTATCTATCTATATATCTATCTATCTATCTATCTATCTATCTATCTATCTATCTAATGTAGGAGTTAAATGTTGGAGCTGGTAAANGTGTGTGTGTGTGTGTGTGTGTGTGTGCAGGATGTGGAGGCCAACACGGTGCGTCTGAAGGAGCACGGTCAGGATGTTCTGGTGTTAGAGAAGAGTCACGGTCGCACCTCCAGCCACGGGGCCTCGTCCTCCCATTACAAGTAAATGTACTATATCTATCTATCTAATGTAGGAGTTAAATGTTGGTAAAGCTGGTAAAGGCTGGGCTATTTGTAATTGCTTTATATTCTGCAGTGTAGCCTCATTCATCTCAATATATTTTTTGGTTGATAATGAATAGTTATCATATCAATCTAAAATGTAATTTATAACCTAATTTAGCAAAAACAAGGAGTAGAGGAAATAGTACAGTGGTACCATTTTGAGATCTAATTGAGTGAAAGTAAAAAGTACGGTAGTATTACATGGAAATACTATTTTTTTTGCTGAATTACAGTACTTGAGTACATGTTCTTAGTTAAGTTATACAACTGTTAACCTAACAGAATCTGAAATTATAAGAGGTCAATCTTTGGCTACACAAATCATACTTTCATTGTTGGGTTACACTTTTTCATGAGACGTATTAAGAATAACAAAAAACAATCAATCAAAATACTTTATTTATCCCTGGGGGAAATTAGGGTTTTGACAGTTATATATATAATTAAAAACACTGAGGGTGAATGGTAAACTCTATCAGTCAGGGTGACCAGCAGCTGAAAATGATTTCCGAGTTGTGTGCAGCTCAAACACAGCAATCCTTTGCACTGCAGCCAACAAGCGTTTTCTTAATAGAGGCATCTGTCACTGCACCGCGGCCGCTGTAATATAGAGAGACACATTAATGGTAATGGTGGCCCTGGCTCCTAGGGGAAAAAGGAGGCCTGGCAAGTCACAATTACTTGTCCGGGGTCGCCCTCTAATCAACTCGGCTCCTCACACATGAGAGTGTCAAGACTGCAGGGAAGACACAGCATGTCTTATGCAGCTCCCTCTTGTGATGCTGTTATCAAGTAATGAAAACAACCGAGGATGGGCTTTGTTGATTCTCCTTCACGGAGAAGATGCCCCCACATTTTTATTTTCTCTCATCCCAGACTCCCCTTAATCTTCAGCCAAGGCCAAGAACCCTGTGATTGTAAATAGGATTCTTATCAAATGAAGCAATCACAGACACACGTTGAAGTAAGACGAATCACTCGAGGGCCATGGAGTTGTCGCAGAGCATTAGGAGCCAGTGTTTCTTGATTAGTGAAGGGTGTGTTTTATCCTGTGTTGCTACAGATACAAGGTGATGTCGGGGACTCCGGAGAAGATTTTGGAGCACCTCCTCGAGATGATACGATTGGATTCACAATTCTCAGAGTCAGGTACGTTTCTACATGCAACCTTCAGCGTGTCACATTAGCACCATCTAATACAAAATATATATGAAGATAATTTACTGTGAAGGGTTTTCTTTTATGCAGCATCTCTGGCTCAGTTTCTCTCCTCTGCTGCTCTGAACTGACCTGTTTGTTCTCATCTATAATTAGCCACATGTCACAGGGCTGATCTAATTACTCTCGCTTGTGTGGACACATATGGTTATCATTTGCCTGCAGAGGTGATAGAGACCGTGCCATGTAGGATCAAGGCCTGACGGCTCTGGATGCTCTTTGATCTGCAGCGGTTTGATATATTTTTCTTTCTGTCACAGACGCTGCCTTAGAGGACTTTGTGCTCATGCACTGTGTCTTCATCCCAAACACGCAACTATGTCCGGTGTTGTTGGCACACTATCCTTTTTTTGTGGTTAAATGTGAAACTCAGCTGAAAAACACTTCCTACTATGCACCACTTGCATTGTTTGTATCTTTAACTGCTGTGCACCTACCACGCTCAGGCCTTGCAGGGCTCTGATCAGGAGAAGCTGGACTACACAGTGAACAACAAGCGCAGGGTGATCCGCCTGGTGATGCAGTGGGCGGCTGTACACGGAGACCAGCTGCAGCAGGAGGACGTCCCTGTGGCCTTCCTGGAGGTCAGCATGTAGATATCAGCAACACTTTAACCACTGTTATAACCTATGGTTATAGCTGCTGACATTGGTACAGTGTGATAGCAATAATAAACAGTGTGATAAGACATTCAGTGTTTCTGTTATACATTTCCATTTCTATTTCTGTGATAGTCTATGATGTTGAAGAACAACAATATGTAGTTTCTTTTTTTTATTTCTGATTCGGGGTCACATAATATTTGTATAGCTTTTTGCTCTTAGTTAACAATTGAATCTCTTTTACTGACCCAAAAATAGCAAAAAGGTTTAGTTTCAAAGAGACATAAAACCCCTCTGGATTCAGGTTTTCAATGTATTTATTCATTATATATTTGTCAAACTCTTCAAGTAAAACAACTGTGCATTAAAATTAATTTAAATAGAATTGTCAAATGCATTTAGGGAGGTAAAATAGGGAATAATGTCAAACAAGTTTTTACACCCCATGATTGTTATAAATGCGTTGAGGTAAAGCAAATCAACTTTTGGTTTATGATGTGGATCCAGATGTGAAACTGAATTTATCAGCGATTAATATATTTTAAAAGGTCAATCAGGTATTGACATTTTTTTTAATTCAGAGTTTGTTGTGTTTTCCTGCAGGAGTTTCTCGTGGCGGTATCTAATGATGCCGAGTCGATTCCAGCCCTCAGGGATCAACTAGCAGAACTGGAGAGAAGGTTAAAGCAACAGTAAGTCAGGTTTTTTAGATACATTATCTTAAGGATTCATTCGTATATTAAAAAAGGTACATACCTTAAGCTTAATCACATATCTTTCTTTCACATTGTAGCACTGAAGATGCCAGTGTCTCTCAGAAAAAGGTAAGAAACCAACTCTCTTTTGTTTGAATTCATGTGTAGATTTTGTTGAATTGTGCAAAAAATGTAATTATGCCTGAATCTGTCCAACTTTACAGCACAAAGTCTTACTGCGGCAGTTCAGTATGGGAGATGAGAAGCTTCAGAAGCGCCAGCCCATCAAGAGTATCGATGAAAGTGAGTAAAGGAAACATCTCCACAAATACAATTTAATGCTTGTAAAATGTGGACTAAGGATCTAAAACAGTTTGTTGTTGATACAAACTACTGTCTGTCATTGTTACTGTATATCTATTTGCGATTTGAAACCTTTATTTAGCCATTTTATTTTCCTTGAATGAGACACTCACACCTGTTTGGTTTCTGAAATGTACCTGCTATCTGTTACTGATTTGCACATCAAACTACACACCTGGTTCTGTCAGCAGAATGGATATCCTTGTATAATGTGGATTTAATTTCTGCAGAAGAGGAAATGCATCATTGCTGTTCTTTTCATTTATTTGCCTCAACAATCACCCACTATGACGACCATTGCTAATGAGTCACAACCTCTTAAACTACTTTATTTCAAAAGAATAGCAAAGATTAGAGTACAAATATTTGTTCTCATAAATCCTCTTATGACACTCAGATCTACTCAGTAACCCCTACATTTGGAATTGTTGCAATAATCTTAACGTTGCCACATTCTCCTTTCCTTTCTTGCTGATACTCCCATATTTGATCATGCCCGCAGTTCTGCTCAAAGTCTACTGCTGTGACCACACCTACACGACTATCCGTGCCCCTGTGGCCGCCTCAGTCAGGGAGGTCATCGGTGCCGTGGCCGACAAGCTGGGGTCAGCGGAGGACCTGCTGCTGGTCAGCCTCAGTTCTGCAGGAGGTGAGAGCGCCAGCAGCTACATGCTAATCAAACGACTGGAGGCGGCACAGGGGAGAGCCCCCAAGCAGGCCAATATACTAATAAATCCCCTGAGTTGGACATTAGCAGCCTGCTGTGGACTGTGAATGACTGCTAGTAGGTGCTACAATGGCCTTTAAAGCAGCTTGAAAAAAACCCAACCTGAGCTCAGTTTTTCTCCTGACATTCAGCATGAGGCTGTTAGTGGCTGAGCCTTAATGTAGCGATGTTCCATCGTATTTGACAGAAACTGTAATGCAGCTCTTACTCAACTTCCTTATCAAATGCAAGTAAGCAGATGCAGCTCATATACTGTATCTCTAACCATTGAACCTTGGATTTTCAAGGAAAAAAGTCAAGGCCACCTCAGTTTTCACATAAAAGAGCAACAGTTACAGCTACAGGATAGTATTATGTTATCATATAATGGAACAGTATAAGATGTTGTCAAATACAATACCTAATACCTAAACTATATTTTTAGAAACTTAAAAAAACAGTTGCAGACAAACATATTTATAAAAAAAAAAAGTATATCTTGTAGTATATTATATAAGCTGATGTTTAAAAGATACAATGTTAATCATGTTCACCATCCTTGTTTAGTGTGTTAGCATGTTAATATTTGCTGATTAGCACTAAACGGAGGTTGATATGAATTACATCATTTGGGGGAGCAGATGGTAAGTGTACACATGTACAATAAAAAGGTTTAAAATGTAAACTAATCTTTGGAAAATTCATCCAGAGGGAAACATGTCCAACCTCATGCTGGCGCTAAAAAAAAAGTAATCGGATTGACAGTCTGTAGGTTTCATCCTCAGGGAACCATGAATGTCTGTCCAAAATAATGAATAGTTATTAAGATATTACAACCGCCATCAATGTAAGGTGCAAACCATCACACTGAAATGTTACATAGCTAAAAAAGGCAGCAGAGAATCCTCACTGTCATATTATTTTGTTACGACCCTCTTGTGTCTTTAGTGTTGTCTTATAAAGGGATCTAACGTTACATTTACTATATTTTTAAACCTTTGTGTTTTTTGTTCTACAGAGAAAGTCATCTTCAAGCCCAATGATGTGTCAGTGTTCTCCACGCTCAGCGTAAACGGACGGCTGTTTGTGTGCCGGAGGGATCAGTTGGATTCTTTGGTGGGTTAATCTCTAATTACACAGCACATTGTCATCACATAAAAGAGGGATCAGTGAAACTCTGAAAACTGTTGCTGCACGCACTCTTGAATCCAAATAGCTTTTAAGCAACCTGGTGAATGTATTGATTATTGGATATTTACAATGTATTATTTGTTAAGTCAAACTATAGTATTTACCCTTATCAGTAGCTTACTGCATTTTTGTCTTGTCATTTTAACATTTTGATGTATTTCGGCTCATGTTGATGTCACACCTCTGTGTTTCTATCCATCGTTTTGAAATTGTCAAACTCATGAAACGTTAGATTACATAATTATAAAACATAAAAGGCTGTTTTTTCTTTTTTCCAGACCCCTCTACCTGAACAGGATGGTTCCTCTACAGCGCTGTTGGCTGGTTTTGAGTTAATGAGCTCTAAGGATGTAGCTTACCACATGACTTCCTATGATTGGGAGCTTTTTCACTGTGTCCACGAGGTATGACCAGATGCCATCGGCAGAACTGATTGATTAATAGAACACATGTTGTAGTATTATAGAATTAATTAAAGTTAATAAATGATAATGTTTTCTTTGATGTCTTACAGCTTGAACTCATCTACCACACGTTTGGGAGGCAAAACGTCAAGAAGACCACGGTGAACCTGGACCTGTTCCTGAGGAGGTTTAATGAGATTCAGTTTTGGGTGATCACAGAGGTGTGTCTGTGTTCTCAGCTCAGCAAGAGGGTGCAGCTTCTCAAGAAGTTCATCAAGATTGCTGCCCAGTAAGTGGACCTTGTTTCAGTGTCTTAATACGATACGATATACTTTATTGTCCCCGTAAGGACATTTGTTCTGGACTCCGTCCTGCAGTTCTGCATACATGTACATATACAAACATAGTGGACATTAAGAGACATACACATATCATCAGTCAGACACCGTTTGAACAAACACAATACACAGACGCACATACTGACAATGGCGACCTATTGCACAACCCTCATGGCCAACATTTAAAAAGTACATTTCATTACATTTGACTACATAATACATCCCTTTGACCCAGCTTGGTATTTCGTTCTTTTTTTATTTCGTTTTTTCACTACTTTAACATACCTTTTCATTTTTCCTTTCAAAGCTGCAAGGAATACAGAAACCTGAACGCCTTCTTTGCTATCATTATGGGACTGAGTAACCCAGCAGTGTGCAGATTGAGTCAGACCTGGGAGGTGGGTACCTGTCCGTGTCAAAATTATTCTTAACCAAACTGCAATCTAACCTTTTAATATAATCTTTCCACAGAAACTCCCAAGCAAATTCAAGAAGTTTTACGGGGAATTTGAAAACTTTATGGTAATTTGAAACGACTCACCTACTTTCTTTAAACTATAGTGTTTTTGTCATAAATCACCCCATCTTGCAATGTCAGCTGGTCAAGTGCGGGTCTCGCCTCTTCATGCTCGGCCTGATCGTGATGGATCTGTTTAACACGGCGACGGCAGATCTCAGAACAGTGTGATTGTTTCCACAGGACCCGTCCAGGAACCACCGGGCGTACCGACTGACAGTTTCCAAACTGGAGCCTCCCATCATTCCCTTCATGCCGCTGCTGATCAAAGGTCAGAGTTGTTTATTAGATGACCCGTTTATTTTTAAGTCAACATAATTTGAACCTTTGCCACCTTTGTTGTTGAAATGCTTTTTCACCAGCTTTAACCGTCTCAACAATTGGTCTTTTCCAGACATGACATTTACTCATGAGGGCAACAAGACATTTATCGACTGTTTGGTCAATTTTGAGAAAATGGTGAGGCTCTGAAGGTGCACATTATTGTCTCACAGTTGCCGTAAATGTCTATTTTTTTAGCCATTCACTTAACTGCTGATATCTGTTGCTGATTGTAGCTCTTTGTCTTTCAGCGGATGATCGCTAACACGGTGAAGATAGTGAGATACTGCCGGAGCCAACCGTTCAGTGAGTGTGCATCCAATAGTTTTATTTTGTAGCTAGAACAAATGGGATTACCAAAAGGTTTGATGATGCATTTAAATGAGACTGTAGTTTTTTCTGATGATTCTTTTCATTTTTACTCATTCTTTCAATTAATTAAGGCCCAGATTCACCTCTGGCCAGCAAGAGCCACCCAGAAGTTCGCACATACGTACGTCACCTCAACGTGATCGACAACCAAAGGACGCTAACTCAGCTCTCTCATGGACTTGAGCCTCGCAGGTCTTGAAACCACTCAGGGACAGAAATGTTACACTCTGATGCTGCTTTACTCATGACATGCGCTTACATTGGGATGGATTCACTCTAAAACAGGCAATTGCATGAAGAGGACCTAATGACGTATCAGATAATGAGATATTATTTCAGAAAGCCTTTTATCACAGTGAGCTTTAACAACGGTAATTGTTGGTGGCCTCATATCACTGTGTTGCACCATCTTATCTAAGTCAAACAACAGCAACAATTTAAGGAATTACCAGGCATGGGGAGGGGTGCCATTCATCAGATTAACATTTCAGACGTAAACACTATGTGACGCTTATGCTTTAAAAATGCAAAGTCTTGATATTCCTGATATTCAGTTGTTTCGTATCTTTTGTATCAAACAATATTTATATACGTTTGTGAGAATCTGTGTTGTAAACTGTAAACAAATATTTATTTTGACATCAGCATGCAAAAAGTTGTGATGATTGTTTGCTTTTTTATTCATGTCAGCACATTTCTCTTTGGAGTTACAGTAAATGTCTGAAAACCTTTTGAGTGCTGAAAGTATTAAATATTTTAGATGTACTTGTGCGTTCTTTCATTGTGTTGTTTTGCCAATTCATAAGTTCATCATTCCATATACCAAAAGAGTTTCTAAACCTCTCAGACTTGTTTAGTTAGTGCCATTCAGGTTTGTCCAATACATTATCGCCTGAGGATTGAGGAGGAGAGGATGTACAATATTTGGAGCAATAGAATAAGAGAAACCACCAATCAGAAGTCAGTATTTGTCCTTTCCTGGATTTAGCTCTTTTTCAATTAGTTTTACACATTTTTTACGTTATGTTGTCAAATAAATTAAGTGAGTAAGTGGAAGGAATATAACGTTTTCTGGTAGTATTAAATGGAAATGCCAAATTAAAGTACAAGTGGGCAATGGAATTTGTATCTAGTCTGTGCAAATTGCTAGAAAGTGCTTTTTAATATAACATGTCAACATGAAAAGCAACATTACATTTGGCTGTCAAATTAATGTAAAAGAGGAAAAAAGTAGAATATAAACTTATGCAATATAATAGTAGAGAATAATAAATTAATCTTTACTAATTTAAAGAACAAGTACAAATTGTAGATGGATGTATAGATGGATAGGTACTTTATTGATCCCAAATTGGGAAATTATTTAGTTGCAGCAGCAAAATGTACAGGCATTATAATCTTCAAAGGTGTAAGAAAGTATAAACATAATAAAATGAACTAAAATAACAATAAAAACAATAAACAGCTGTTAATATCTACAGTATAAAGGACATGAACCACAAGCATACTCAAGTTACCTGAATTAAGTAATGTGTAACAGTTTAATTTAATTAGTTACTCTGCATGACTGAGAAGGCTTTATATAAATGAACCAAATCTGGGAAGTACATCTCATGTGTGCTTACAATGTCTTAACGTACACAGTTTAAAAGAGGACAACAACACCAAATGCCATGGAGGAGATAACATTTGAAGAGAATAAAATATATGCACGCAGTCCCAGAGCATTCAAAGGACCTATAAAGCATTTAACCCTTATGTTGTGTTTGGGTCTCCCGTGACCCGTTTCAAGTTAAAATGATATAATAACTACGTTCTAGTTTTTTTTTATCGGAACAAGGCTTCATGATATCCTCCACAGCAGCTATATAAACACTACAAAACTAATTTTGACCATTTTAGCCAAGTCTGAAGGTCTCTAAAAAAAAAGGTGTATAATTTAATTTGGTGTTCGGGTCTGGGAAGACCCAGCAGTTGTGGGTGACTCGGGGTCAAATTTGGCCCAATCAAGATTAATCTTTGACTTTAGACACCCCAGCCCCACCCCCTTCACCCACTGTAACAATAATTTGTTCGCAACATGCACCTGGTCTCCCCCATGGATGTATAATAAGAACGTCTCCCCATCCCCCTCCCCCCACGGGAACTCCTTTCACAAAGAATATGTACACCAACACTTGAACACTCACATGCACTTGTGCAATATGTGGAGTTATGTGTTTTGGGGCCATAAAATAAAATAACAACAGGATTTTACGGTTATGAATGCATTATAAGTTAGTTATGATGTAGTTAAAACAATATTGGATGATAATCATTATTTTTGAGTGTTTTGGACTGAGATAAATCATGGGTCAAAATCGACCCGCGAAAACCATGAACGGTAACAGCTTTAGAACACAACACAAAGGTTAAGGAAGGGGAACTCCAATGGGTCCGCGGTCCACAGATGGAGCACCACCGTCCCGGGACAGTGAAGAATAACAACAACATGGTGTGAGCTCGGAGTCCTCTCACTTTGTTCCGGCGGGTGGAGCTGTTGTCCTCAGGATCTGGACTGTAAAACATGTATTTTCCAGTCTGTAGCTGGTAGAAGTTGTGCAACAAACACCGCGCAGTGAGAGGAGGCTTCAGAAAAACGTCACATGAGATTTCCCGGAACTCCTAACTTTTCACTTTCCTACTGATTGTTTATAAAGTGCACCGACGACGAGCTGCTCTGAAGACGCTTCACACTTAATGTCGGTATGTATGTTTACACTGAGTGAAGTTATACAGTATTAGCATGGTAGCTTGTGAGAAGGGACAGTGAGTCATAGTAGACTAGTTCATAATGTACTGTAAGCATACACGTGAATGTTGTGCAGTTTTACTTTTAGGCTGTTGAGTGTTAATCATCATACATCTGTGTTTACTCAAGGCTCCTAAAAGTACTCATACTAATAATAATACTAGTGACAGCTACTGCACGCATTTTCACTTCTCCTTATTAGTCATAGAGTAAATTCTTTTTGTTAGCAATTTTGTGAAATGTTTCCTCTAGGCTACCTTTTTGCCTTTATAAAAAAAGTGTCATGCAGGATTTCGCAATAATCTAAGAGCATGATCAGTCTCACTATGCAGTGTATAATTGATTATTATTTAAGATTGTCATATGTGGATGCATCTGTGATTAAATATCACCCCGTTGCTGATTTTGTAGGTGAAACAGGCGTTGACAGGTACTATCTGCCAGCTTTGTGTGATTTATTTTTCATTTAGTTTTGATTACAGTGACTTCCTGTGGTTTGACATATGGCTATCAGGCCTTTATTGTTGCAGTGTTTGCTATTAAGTGAGAACTGGCAGGAAGGAGCACAGGAGTGCTACCATATCCCAGTAACCCTGGCTTCTGGAGTGGACGGACAATACCGTGGGCCGGTCCACTGAGCAGATTGCTGTGAGGCTAAGTATAGCATGCATACAAGTAAATGAGCAGAGAGCAATGGCCCCCCTTTGTGACAATGGAGGCATTTCCCGCTGGGCTGGATTGCAATCCCAATGAAGACCCAGGTAACAGCCCTAATTGCTCTGCTTGAAATAGGAAACATATGAACAATACAAGAGCTACAATTTCCTGTAATGATGGAGTTATGTCTCTTACAATATGCTTTTATGCTCTTACGGCCGGACAAAAGGATATGATAATCAATCTGTGTGGACTCCAGTTTGGAAGCATTATGTTTCTAACCCCGGTTTATATAAATACCGCGTGTATGGCCTTAGAGAACATGAGGTTTACTCTGTTTTTGTCTTGAAACAGTCAGAGATTGTCCATTTGTTTTGATCCCTCTGCTTGTGGCCTTATTTGTACCAAACACAGTAGACCGTGCTGGAATAGTGTGTGACTTTGGTCTGCATGATCACAGCATACCAGGCATGCCATCAGCCTTATACAAGCAGAGCCTGGACCCTGAGCTCATTGCTTACTGGTACTGATGATGAAGAGTGTGTGTGGAGCAGAGAAAGGAGAGGGTCAGTCTCATCTCACCTGCAGTCACTCTCTCTAATGGGTTGTTCCAGAGTGAAGCCACTCTTTGAAGCGTCTTGCACAGCAGGAGACAGGAGTGAGTTTGTTTTACCATTCAGTGAACCAGACTTCCTTCCTTCCTCAGAAGCAGAGTTGGTGCTTAGTGTCATTATGAGATGTTGTCTCCAAGCGCCTCCTTCGTGCAAATCAAGTTCGATGACATCCTCTTCTACGAGAACTGTGGCGGCGGCAGCTTCGGGAGTGTGTACCGATCCAGGTGGATCTCCCAGGACAAAGAGGTGGCGGTGAAGAAACTGCTCAAGATTGAAAACGAGGTAGGAGTCATAATTGCCTGGGCTTTTCATACATACACTTTTTAATTGTCAGTGTAGTAATCATTTTAATTGCTACCCCATTTAGAGGGATGTGGTGACTTCTATACCCATCACTCATGGTCATTATACACCCCCTCTCCACGAAAGAAACAGTATTGCCAAATGAAAGAAAGTGTTTGGCCCAATTACAGCAGGGACTGTTCTTGAGATCACTTTGAAAGCTCAGGCTCATTGTCTTACAGACAAAAAAAAAGAATTATCTTTGAAATCTTTTCACAGAAATTGTATTACATGTGTGATAGGCTGTTCAGAAAGTGATTCATGGTTTCTTTTATGAAATTGTAAAAGATCACAGATATCCATTCAACTTCACTCAAGTGTTGGAGAGATGATTGTTCAGTGAAAATAATAGTGTAATCTTTTCACATTCAACCAATTCTTTCATTTAATTACAGTGTTTGGCTACAATTAAATGAATTGGTTTTGTCAGGTTTCTCTTCCTTCTAGGAATAGTTTATTTCCGGGCCAGTATGTTGTATTAAAACATATTTATATACACTTTTATATTCACGTGATAGTGGCACGGCTCTATGGATGGCTTGTCTGTCTGTCGGTTCACTGGTCTAATTAAGTAAAATATGTCATGCATGTCCATCATACACATGTACAGACATTAATAGAAAGTGGGTGAATACATTACTTTCTCTTCAGCGCTATCATGAGGTACACCTATTGTATAGACTTCTATGTCATTTGCTGCATATATTCACAGTTCCCAGAGCATGAACCTTTACATTAAAGGTGGGGTATGTAATTTATTTCAGAAACACTTTTTGTTATATTCCATGGAATGCTCTTAACATCCCGATAGCAATGAATATATTAAATGCTTTGACAATAAATACATAAAAAAATTCATCTGTGGAAGCCGTAGCGCTGTAAAAAGCACATCCAATCATTTTAGCCGGCCCAGCTAAAATAACTGGATGGCCTACCTGCCTGTCTATCTGTGCACAAACTTATCTCGTGCCCTCATTGGTCATGTGCGTGTTCGTGTGTATTGGAGGAGGGGCTCCGTGGTGCAGTGCTGATCGTTTCACCACGGAGGAAAGCACTAAGCTAATTGCAGTACCCATAAGGAGCTGTACAAATGCCGCAGTTTTTGCGTGGCTGTGTATTTAGTTGAAGGCCCAGTGGCGATCTGCTCATCTCTCATCGAAATAATATGCTACAAAGGGGCGGACTGGCCATCTGTGTGTTGAACTTTCCTGTCGGCTCCCAGACCGTAGTCGAGGAGGGCAGAAGCAACAAGCCAGGTTCAATAACCCACTTTAGCTTAAATGACTGGAGAGAGGCGAGCTCTTCTTGGGAGGCCGTTGCATTTATTTAG